TACTGCCACCTTTCAAAAAGGGAGATATCCCATGTCAGTGGAATTAATGTTAAAGTAGTTAAAATGTCCCTACTACCAGCCAGGCATGGTGGTGCATGCCTTTAATCCCAGCTCTCTGGAGGCAAAGACAGGCAAATCTCTGTGATATCAAGGCCAGCTGGGGCTACAGGGAGACCTTGTCTCAAAAAAACACACAAAAAATCCATAATACCAAAAGTGATTTGCATATTTGGGACCACTCCTATCCAGATGTCTGTGACAGTCTTCATAGAAGTAGAGAAATACTCCTAACATTTTGGGGGATCACAGAAGATCTCCAGGAGCAAAAGCAATCTTAAGAAAAAATAGAATGCAACTTCAGGCATTATAATATTTCAAAATACACTACAAAACTATGGTGGCAAGACCTGAAATCTCAGTACTCGGAAGGTGGAGGTAGGAAGATCAGGAGTTAAAGGTCATTCTTGGCTGCATAGCTTGAGTTACATGTCCTTGGCTTCAAGGACAGCTTGAGTTTCATGAGACCCAAAACGCTGGTGGTGGTAGCATGCCTGAGGACTATAATCCCACCGTTTGGAAGGTGGAGGCAGGAGGATGGGAGTTCAAGGCCAGCTTAGGCTACATGAGACTGTTCTCAAAAAACCCAAAAAGGACTAGTGAGATGGATCACAGATAGTGGTACTTTCCACCAAGCCTGAGGACCTGAGTTTATCCCTTTATCACATAGTGGAAGGAGAGAAATAACTCCCAGAAGTTGTTTTTTGACCTCTATACACGTACCATGGCATGTGCACATGTGTTAGGATTATAGATGTACACCCTCCACAGCCAGCTATCTGATCATTTTTAAACCTTTTTACTTTTTTTGACTATTCTTTATATATTCTAATGTTCATCCCTTGTCAACAGAATAGTTTACATTTTTTAAAATTTATCTTAAAATATATTTTATTATTTTTATGTATATGAGTTTGTTGCCTGCATATATGTTAAGTGCACCCATGTCATGCACTGCCCTTGGAGGTCAGAAGAGGGTGTTGGATTCCCCTGGGACTGGAGTTATGAATGGTTGTTAGCCACTATGTGGGTTCTGGGAATCGAACCTGGGTCCTCTTAACCACTGAAACAACTCTCCAGCCCCCCCTTTTTTTTATATACTTGTGTGTGTATCTGTGTGTGTGTAGATCAGAAGACAACTTGGGGGAGTGAGTTCTCTCTTACCATGTGGGTCCTGGGGATCAAGCTCAGGTCATCAGGCTTGGCAGCAAGTACCTTTACCCACTGAGTCATCTCACTAGCCCCAGAAATTTTTTAATTTGATGCAATCACACTTGTCAGATTTTGCTTTGTCAGTGCTTTTGGAGTTTTAGTCCCCTCAACCCCCCAAAAGAATTTTTTTGTAGACCTGAAAGTTTCCTGAAGTGTTTCCTCTAAGTTTTTTTCTAGTAGTTTAAGTTTCATTACATTTTGAGTTAGTTTCCTTTTTTTTTTTTTTTTCCCCTTTTTTGGTCATTTTGAGACAGGGTCTCACTGTAACCCCAGCTGGCCTGAAACTCACTATGTAGACCAGGCTGGCCTCAATCTCACAAGGACTCTCCTGCCCCTGCCTCCAGAGTGCTAAGACTAAAGGTGTACACACACCATGCCTGGCCTGTTGAGTTGGTTTTCATATATGGTGCAAGACAGTTGTCTAGTTTCTGTCTTCTGCATGTGGGTATCATTTCCCCAGCACCATCTACTGAATAGACTTTTTCCAGTTTATGCCCTTCTTTCCTATTTCTATTAATATTCAGTTGGCCTTAAATACACAAGACCCTCTTTCAAAAAAAAATTTTTTTTAATGAACCCAAAAAACTAGGCCTACAAACTAGTGGGTTTCATGAGAGCATTATATATATTTTTTAAAATTTTATTTATTTATTATTTATTTATTTATTTATTTGGTCTTTTTGAGACAGGGTCTTCCTGTAGCCCCAGCTGTCCTGGAACTCATTATGTAGACCAGTCTGGCCTTGAACTCACAGAGATACACCCGCCTCTGCCTCCCAAGTGTTGGGACTACAGGCGTGCGCTACCATGCCTGGCTTATTTTTATTTTTTATGAGTATGCATGTATTGCCTGTGTGTAGGTAAGTGCATCCACATCATGCAATGCCTGTGGAGGTCAGTAAAGGCTGTCGGATCTCCTGGGACTGGAGTTATGGACAGTTGTTAGCTGCCGTGTGGGTGCTGGGATTTAAACCTGGGTCTTCTGCAAGAACAATCAGTGTTCTTAACTGCTGAGCCATCTCTTCAGCCCCCATTCCAAATATACTTACTTAAATCATTGTAACCTTTTGATATTGATACTAACAGTAACCCCATTTTATATGTCAGGAACCCAAATCTCACAGAAGCCCCACTTTCACGCACAAGGACATCAGATGTGAGAGGTTAGCAGCTGACCTGTGATCCCACAGGTAACAAATGGTAGAGGTGAGCTGTGAACCTAGTTGATCTCACTATAGAGCTGTGAGATTTGAAGGTTGCACATGGTTCAAAAGGTGTCAACCAGGAAGGGGCTTCAAGCTGTATGTGCACTGCTCTTCTTACACAGCTAGCCTGGCATACAAGAATAAGTTCACCATATGTAATCTGCCAAGCCTTGGTTTGCCACTCACTAGCTCTGTGTCCTTAGACATGTGGCTATTTTTTATTTCCTCATCTATAAAATAGTTATGACTCAGCTGGGTGTGGGGCTAATCCCAGCACTCTGGAGGCAGAGGCAGGTAGATCTTTGTGAGTTAAGAGGCCAGCCTGGTTTACGTAGCGAGTATTCCCGGCCAGCTGGGGCTACAGGGAGACCCTGTCTCAAAACAAATTAAATAAATACATACATAAATAAATAAATAAATAAATAAATAAGTAAAATAGTTATGACTCTCACAGGATTATTATGCGATACAGAATTGCATTAAATAAGTTAGGCATGGTGGTACACGCTTGTAATATCAGCACTTGGGAGGTAGAGACTGAAGGATCATGAGTTGAAGGTTAGCCTGGGCTACCTGAAATACTGTCTTAAAAATTTTTACAGGCCAGACGTGGTGCACACCTTTGATGCTAGCTGGAAGGCAGTGAACTCTATGAGTTCAAGGCCAGCCTGGTCTACCTCGTGAGTTCCAGGCCAACTAAGACTACATAGTGAGACCTTGTCTCAAAAAAAAAAAAAAAATTACATGAAATAACTTTTTCAGTCTGGCATAGTGATGCATGTCTGTAGTCCCCAGCACTCAAGAAGCTAAGGCAAGGGCTGGGAAATGGCTTACTGGCTGCTCTTGCAGAGGAGGACCTGGGTTCAGTTCCCAGCACCCACATGGTGACTTACAACCATCTGTAACTCCAGTTCTGGGGGCCCTGATGTCCTCTTCTGACCTCCACCAGCATTGCATGACATGGGTGCACTTACATACATGGAGGCAATGCTCTGATACACATAGAAAATAAAAATAATAAAAATAATAATTTTTTTTTTTAGATAGGAGGGGCTCCCTGTAGCACCAACTGGCTTGGAACTCACTATGTAGACCAGGCTGGCCTCAAACACACAGAGATCTGCCTGCCTCTGCCTCCTGAGTGCTGGGATTAAAGGCATCAGCCACCATACCCAGCTCATAAAAAAAATTTTTTTTTGGTCTATTTTGAGACAGGGTCTCCCAGTAACCCCAGCTGGCCTGGAACTCACTATGTAGACCAGGCTGGCTTCAAATTCACAGAGATCCGCCTGCCTCTGCCTCCCAGGTGCTGGGATCAAAGGCATGCACCACCACACCCGGCTCATAAAATATTTTCTTTTAAAAGAAATCTCCAAAAAAAAGGGCTGGAAAGATGACTCAGCAGTTCAGAGCATTTCCTGCTCTTCCAGAGAATGTGTTCAGCTCCCAGCACCTCCATGGGGATACATGGAGGGGCCTTACAACCTTCTGTCACTGCAGTTTCAGGAGCGCCTTGTGTTAAGTGTTAATGATTATGATTATAAAGTGGTATAATTGGTTTGTGATTGTGGGAAGCTAAGGATTGGAGAAGGTAAAGAATTTAGCCAAGTCACATGAAAGAGAGCCAGGGTTCCAGTCTCACATCTTGCTCCTGACTCACTACTAGAGCCATACAGTGAAAGGCCACTTGTCACTGGTAGTGAGCCAGAATGTCTGGATCCCAGTGTAAAAAGACTGTAGAGATGGCTCAGCAATTAAGAGCACTGACTGCTCTTGCAGAGGACTGGAGTTAAGGTCTCAACACCATGTGCTGGCTAACAGTCTGTAACTCCTGTTTCAGGGGATCAGATGCCCTCTTGTGGCCTCTGTGAGACATGTAGGCAAAACACTGGTAAGTTTTAACAAAAAAATTTAAAGACAGATTGATTTCTTAACAGGTGTACTCATTAATTGCTCTCACTGCAAGGCTGAGAGTGGCACCTTCCCAGAGAGATCTGTCAGTAAAGGGTGACCTTATGCTCAGTGAGACCATTGAACATAGTGAGAAAGTTATACCAAAGGTCACCTTTGTTCTGTGGTTCCTTTTAATTACATTTATCTCTTGTTGGGGCTGGCAGGGTGCATGCCCTATACATGTGCCATATCACATGTATAGAAGTCAAAGGACAACTTAGAGATGTTGATTCTCTTACCTTATGGGTCCCAGGAATTAAATCCAGGTCACCAGGCTTGGCTACAAGCCCCTTTACTTACTGAGCCATCTCACCAGCCCATGTTCTGTCGTTCTTTTATTTACTCAACAGTAGTCTAGGCAGCTTATTTGCTTAGACTGGGAGCCCATGGTGGGAATAAGGAGGTTCTAGCCCCAGGGCACATGGTTCCACACACAGTTTGTGCCTCCAGACCACTCAGTCCCACCTACTCATCAGTCTCAAAAGGGCGGATGCATGCTCTGTGGAAGGAAGCACTCCTCTGGTCCTTCTTGTCCTTATTAGATGACTAACTCTTCATTTTGATGTGTTTCAGCTGGGAAGGGCTATCCCTGCAAGGCGTGTAAGATAGTGCTGAACTCCATAGAGCAGTACCAAGCTCACGTCAGTGGCTTCAAACACAAGAACCAGTGAGTAATGTCCTTTCAAATTTAAGAGTCTTCAGTAGGAACTCTGAGTTAGGGAGTTGCCTGCTTAAAAAAGAAAACTAGTGCCTTTTCTGTCAACAGAAGATAATATAGTTGATAGGAAGTGGCTCCTGGGTTTTTCTTCAGCTTTCCTCTGGCCTTTGGACTGACTGGGCTGAAGATTTCAGTAACTGAAGGGAGGCATAGGTGATTTCCTTTGGGGTTTCCGGAGAAAACCTGGTTTTCGTGGCCTACAGCAGTCCTAGTTTTCTGGAATCATGAGTTTCCCCCACTGGTCTGAGGATCCTCTCTTCACTGCCATCAGCTTATTATCAGATATGACCAGATTTTTTCACTCCCCAAATGACTCAAGTACTGGCCAAGATAGCTCCAGTCCCTGTTCTCACAACCTTACATTCTGGTAGGAAACATAAGATAGACAACTAATAAAAACTGTTGCTTGGGCCTGTGGGATTACAAGGTACACATCTGTAATCCCAGCATTTAGGAGGTGGGAGCAGGAGAGTCAAGGTCATCCTCAGCTATTAGCAAGTTCAGGGCCAGCCTGCAATACTTGAGATCCTGTCAAAGAAAGGCTGTGACAGCGCTTTACAAAGGAATTGGCACAGCTGGGTGTGGTAGTACACACCTTTAATCCCAGCACTAGGGATGCAGAGGCAGGCAGATCTCTGTGTGTTCAGGGCCACCCTGGTCTACATAGTTCCAGGCCAGCTGGAGCTACAGGGAGACCCTGTCTCAAAAAGACAAAAAAATAAAAAAGAATTAGCACTCACAGTGTTTGACATACTTAACAGCTTAGCTGGTGGCAGTTTCAGGAGATAATCTGGAGCCAGCCAGAACCTTGGGGCTACTCAGACCTAAAAATGGTGGTGTGGGGCTGGAGAGATGGCTCAGTGCAGAGAACCTGGTTTCATCCTTTCCCAGCACCCACATGGCAGCTAACAACCATCCATAGCTCCAGTTTCAGGGGATCTGACACTGTCTTCTGACCTCCACAGGCATTGCACAACACAGGTACACTTACACACATGCAGGCAATACACATAAAATTTTTTAAAAAAATGGTGGTGTTATCCAGGCACAGTGGCATACCCTTATAATCTGAGTAGTTGGGAAACGGAGTAGGAAGATTGAGAACTCAAGGTCAGCATGGGCTATGTATAACAAGATCCAGGCCAGTCTTGACTGCATCATGAAGGAAGGGAGGATGGAGCTAGTGTTTTGAGTTTTGGGTTTTTTTTTTTTTTCGTTTTGCTTTTGTTTTTTAAACTGTTGTGGCTTTGGGTAAATCAGTAAGCCTCTCAGAGCCTCTACTACTTCTGTACTACTTCTGTACAATTTATTGAACAGATTAACAATTCAGCCTTCCTAAATTCCCAAGGAGCGCTCTAAATTTGAACATCTCCCTTTTATAGCCCAAAGAAACCTAGTGACAGTTTAGGTTAAGTGACTTCTTCCAGTTCACATAGATACTGGGTGTTAAGCAAAGATTTACCCACTTGGCTCTAAGCTATTCATTTTGCTCTGCTACTCCAAATAGAACTTATTAGCTGGCCAGGTGTGGTAGCACATGCCTTTAATCCCAGCACTTGGGAGGCAGAGGCAGGTGGATCTCTGTGCGTTCCAGGCCAGCCTGGTCTACATATTGAGTTTCAGGCCAGCTGGGGCTACAGGGAGACCCTGTCTCAAAAAAATAAAATTAAATAAATAAATAAAACTTACTAGCCGGGTGTGGTGGCCTATGCCTTTGATACTAGCACTTGGGAGGCAGAGGCAGGCAAATCTGTGTGAGTTTGAGGCCAGCTTGGCCTATATAGAGAGTTCCAGGCCAGTTGGGCATACAGGGAAGACCCTATCTCAAAAAAACTTATTTTACCAGACTTGGTTATATATACCTATAATCATAGCACATCGGAGATAGAGGCAGGAGCATCAAAAGTTCAATATCATCCTTGGCTATTTAGCAAGTTCAAGGCCAGCCTGAGCCACATGAAACTCTGTCTTAAACAAACAAAAACCAGTCAAGGCTTGGTGGCACATGCCTTTAATCTCAGAACTTGGGATGCAGAGGCAGGTGGATCTCTATGAATTCTAGACCAGCCAAGGCTATACAGTGACACCCAGTCTCAAAAAAAAAAATAAATAAATAAAATAAAAAAGCTTGCTTTGCCTACGATAAAGAAAACGATGGGGCTGGAGAGATGGATCAGCAGTTAAGAACACGCTGTTCTTGCAGAAGACCTGGGTTGAAATCCCAGCACCCACATGGCAGCTAACAACTGTCAATAACTCCAGTTCCAGGGGATCCGAAAGCCTCTTCTGTCCTCTGTGGGCATTGCATGACACTGATGCACTTACCTACATGTAGGCAATACATGCATACACATAAAATAAAATAATAAAATCAAAGAAAATGCTGGGGAGATGGATCAGCAGTTAAGGGCACTTGCAGAGGACTCAGTCTCCATTCCCATGGTTTCCATGCACTCACATGGCAGCTCACAACTGTCCTTAACTCTAGTTCCAAGGGATCTAACTCCCTCTTTTCTGACCTCTGTGGGCACTGTATTCATGTGCACTTATACATGCAGGGAAAAATACTCATACACAGGAAGGGAGGGAAGGAGGGAGAGAAAGAAAGGGAGGGAGGGAGGGAGAGAAAGAAAAGGAGGGGAATTATGAAATTATGTCATTTGGGCTGGGGAGATGATTTAGTAAAGTGCTTGCTTCGGGCAGGAGGATCAGGAGTTTAAGGTCAGTCTAGGCTGCGTGAAACTCGTCTTAAAAAATTTTTTTATAATTAAAAAAGTGAATCAGGGCGTAATGATACGTGTTCATAATCCCAACACTGGGGAGGCAGAAACAGAAGGAACCCTGGGTCTCACTGGCCAGCCAGGCTAGTAAGAGCCCTTGTCTCAAAAAAAAAAAAAAAAAAAAAAAAAAAAAAAAAAAAAAGTAGGTGGCAGCATACACCTTTAATCTTAGCACTCCAGAGGCAGAGATCAAGACCAGCCTGTTCTATATAGCAAATTCCAGGACAGCTGGGGCTACAGGGAGACCCTGTCTCAAAAAACAGAAAAGAACTGGAGAGATGGCTCAGCAGTTAAGAGTACTGGCTGCTCTTGTAGAGACCCAGGTTTGATTCCCAACACCCACATGGCAGCTAACAACAGTCTGTAACTCCAGTTCGAGGAGGATCCATTGCTTTCTTCTGACCTCCTTAGGCCTTGCACTTGCACACTTGCAGGCAATACACTCATACATACAATATAAAAATAGTAAATATTTTTAAAAACCAAAAAAACAGAAAAAAAAACAAACATTAGACAGCACTTGAGGAATGACATCCAAGGTCATCTTCTGACTTCTGCACACACATGTGCACACTCACATACAAAGAAATATTTGCTGGGTGTGGTGGCGTATGCCTTTAATCCCAGCATTTGGGAGGCAGGTGGATCTCTGTGAGTTCGAGGCCAGCCTGGTCTACATAGTGAGTTCCAGGACAGCTGGGGCTAAAAAGAGACCCTGTCTCAAAAAAACCCCACAAAAACAGAAATATTTGCTTGAAAATATAACCATATTAAGTAAAATAAGTCAAACTTTTCTCTTACTCATGGACACTATATTTCATATAGATACAGAAAACTGTGTGTGTGATGAAAACAGAAGCTAGCAGGGTGGGGGATGAAGAAGAAGGTGGAGTGTGGAGGAGTGAATGTGCTCAACGTATGTGACATACTTGAAAGAAAAAAACTGTCTATGAAACCCAGCACTACATACAATGACTGCACCAATAAATACGTTTCTAAGTACAGCTTTAATCCCAGCACTCAGGAGGCAGAGGCCTGCAGATCTCTGTCAGTTCAAGGCCAGCCTGGTCTACATAGTGAGTTCCAGGCCTGCTGTGACTACAGGGAGACCCTGTCTCAAAAATACCAAAAAAAAAAAGAAAGATACATTTCTAAAGAAACTTACATTAGGCTAGCCATTCAAGCTTTCTGAAGTTCAGTTTTGTATGTAAAATGGGTTGCTGTTCCTCTTCATGAGGAACTGACGAGGTTGAAATGGAAGTCCGGCATGCAGTGGCCCTCAGTAAAGGAAGGCCACCCTACCCTTTGTTCCAAGGGACCATGCTATCATTAGAACAAGCTACTGGGTGTGCTGCTTTAGGCATGCCACACACTTACCCTGTGTCTTTGTTTTTCTCAAATTACAGGTCACCAAAAACAGTGGTGTCACCCTTGAGCCAGATGCCAGTGCAAAGGCACTCCACTCCAAAGGACTTGAGCATGGTGGAAGGCTAGAGGTGTTTCTGCCTGGTCAGCCTGGTTGGGACAGCCATGGGCTAGTTTCCAGTGACTGTGGTCAACCCTTGGCTCTGTCTTCCTCCTTGTATCAGGAGAACATGGAGGCGTAAGGCCGAATTGGTCTTCAGACAGCCTCTGATTGGGTCCAGACAAAGCTCTTCCTGCTGCCCCTCTTTAGTATGGCCCTGTAGGTCATGATTGGGGAGACAGAGAACCCAAAGTAGTAGTTCGGAGGATGGCCCTCCCCAGGCCCATGGGCTGCATGTCCTGTATAGGCATGCCCTGCAATGCCTGTTTTTCCTTTGAAGATCAGTTTGGAAATTTACAGCTCAAGAAGACCTGTTCCTGGGCTCCAGGCATCTCCTGGGAAACCAGAGTTTTCCTGAACTCTTTGCTAAGGCAGGAAACAGTAGATGGAAGTGGCTGCTGCCTGAAAACTTGGAAGCGATGTAACATGCCCCCTCCCTCCAAAATGTGCAAGCCTTCCTGGTACAGATTCTGCCAAATGTGAAGTCTCTTTGGCATACACATGGTCCTGGCAGAGTACTACCATCTCTGTTGCCCGTCTCTACGGTTCCTGAATGGTGCTAAGGATCTGCAGCAGCTAGGGACAAGCTGCAGTTAGAGGAGGCCTCTGTGCCCAGTGGGATCATGGGAAGCACTAGTTGGGGAGGCGGAGCTTTCTCCATCAGAGGTGCTCAGACCCAGGGTCATGTGAGAAATGCCCCATTTGCTACCCTTCTTGATGATTCTGTGCCTTTAAAGGCACACTGCCTCATGCCAGCCCCTGAGAGGTTAATTCATATTAAACACTATTCGCCCTCTGCAGTGGACCATCCACCCGGGTTGCCTTGCCAGGGAGCCAGAGGGCCCCTGAGGAAGGAATGGAGAGCTAGTACAGGTTTCCACATTGAGGAAACCATTGTTCCCCAGGCCCCAAACTTGGGTTTTTCTAACTGTTGTGATCTGGGACTCCTCTGGGAGTGGCTTCTTTCCACAAAGCTTTGGGAGCAAGAATTCCAGGAAATAACACCACAACTCTTTATTGAGTTAAAGAAACCCAGCTGCTATGGTGGTCTCTCCCCTTAACCGCCCCCACCACCACTACCACATCCCCTCATCCCTTCACTTGTAAAATGCCATTGGGTACTGTGTGGGTATTTGTGCTACCCTGTGTTTGGTCACTGAACCATCCAAATACTTTGTTCCATAAGCCAAGTTATAGCTTCACAGACCTGGGGTTGGAAGCCAGATTGATACTGGATTTAGTATGTCTATCTTGACCCTTCTTCCCGCACAATCAGAGTCCCTGGGTCCTCAGTAATGATCTTAAGAGTCAGGATAGAGACAGGCACATTGCTTGATACCCTAGTAAAAGTCTCCTGGTTCCCCTAAACTCAGTACGATTTCATCCACGTCTCCCTTCCACATGGGGCCTTCTGAGGGTCTTTGGAGGGTTTAGGCCTTGGAGTCTGCTTTACACTTGGGATAGTTATTCTAACTGTTGAGGACTGCAGGAGGACTAGTGAGAAAACTTTTGTCTTCAAGGCCCTCTCCTGGGTAATCCCATCAGGGTAGATCCCCATTAACCCCATGACCAGGGGCTGTGTCTTAAGTGCTGAATAAATGAATGGATGAATGAGAGTGTTTAAAGACAGGTGTCCTTTTCCTGCTCAGTTTTTAGAGCTGTAAGTTTGCTCCCCAGGGCTTTTCATAGGCCTGCTGGTTCTTGAAAGAGCCTTTTTCCATGGCTCAAATGATAGGGAATGGGTATTACATACAGCCTTGGGAACTTGTACAAGATGGCCAGACCAGGCAAACTTAGCTCCAGTTCCTCACAGTAAGTATGTAGTGTTGTTCCTGCCTTTCACCAGCTGTGAGAGGCTCTACTTACCTCCCAGATAGGTTCTCAGCTTTCAGCTTCCCAACCATATACCACCTCAGCGATTTGCCAGTGTTCTGTGTTCCCACTGTCAGAACTGGTCCTGATTACTAAACAAGGTAGTGAAGGGCAGGGTCATGAATGGGCTGCCCTGTCATGAGCCCTTGTCTTGTAAGATCCTGTTTAGATTCAGGAGTCACAGCTGTATGCCCAGGGCTGTTGGAGAGGGGACAGTAGAAGTAGCCTTTCCTTGTCCTCTGGGCGCTCATACACTTAAAAGGCACTTGTAGAGAGTTATTAGAACACAGTGGGAATGCCCAGGATGCAGGCACTAAACTGGGACTGTGAAGAAGCTAGAGTTGAGAAATTAGCATCTGAGCTATATAATTTGGGGCTTTTGTTCTGTTTTGAGACAGGATCTCATGTTGCCCAGGCTAGCCTCAAACTTGTCATGTAGCTGAGGCTGTCCTTGGACTTCTGCTCCTCCCCTGCCTCTACCTAATGCTGGAATGTGCCACCACATCTAGCTTCGTTCATATTATTGTCTATATGAGGTTTGTTCATTTTTTTAGACAGGGTCTTCTGTAGCTCCAGCTGACTCTGAACTTGCTATGTAGACCAGGCTGGACTTGATCTCAGAGAGATCCACTTGCCTTTGCCTCTTGAGTGCTGGGATTAAAGGCATGCACCACCATACCCAATGAGAAGTTTATTTTTAATGCTATACCCATTTTAATTTATCACAGCTGATTTGGGATTATTATAAAGCCTCTGTAAAAAGCTCTGCACATGTCATTTGACACATGCACTCCTTTACTGAGAAGTGGGATCATGAAGTAGGTACTTTTTTAGTCAAAGTCGTTCCAACAGTTGACAGTCCCACCTGTGGTGTATAAAAGCTCCAGTTCCACTTCTGGTTAGTACTGATTATTGTCAAACTTAAAAAATTGTTTATTCATCCCAAGTTGAACCCAGGGGTCCTGACTTCAAATAGAGGCCCCTCTGTCAGCATTTCTAAGATCAGATTTGGGATTCTGTAGCCTGGAATGGTGTCAGATCATCAGCGCAGCAGCTAAGCATTGGAGAGAAGTCTTGTCCTGGGCCTATGGCCCAGGAAAGTCTCAGAAAAGGCATGTGTCCCAGAGAGGCAGTCTTGCACAATGGCAGGGGACTCCAGAATCAGGCAGCCAGGGTTGAGATCTCAGGCTTTTACAAAGCTGTGAGCAAGCAGGTTAGCCCCTGCCACCCCCAGTATAAAGCTATACCTACTTCATAGAGTCATTGTGAGAATTAAAGGATAGAGAGCAAATAGTCATGGCCCTTGACTTGGAGAAGTACTCTATTATAAGTGATGTGGGTGCCATCTTTATTGTTGGCCTCAAGTAAGCCTTGGATCTCCCTGAAGAAGTGAGACCACTGCAAAAGGCATTGGGAATGACCCTGTATTCAGTCACTTGCCAGGCATGGTGGTGGCATGCCTTTAATCCCAGCACTTGGGAGGCAGAAGCAGGTGGGTCTTTGTGAGTTGGAGGTCAGCCTGGTCTACCTGTCAAGTTCCAGGCCAGCTGGGGCTACAGGGAGACCCTGTCTCAAAAAGATCACAAAAGGGAAAAAAAAAAATTAAATGACTTAACGACAAATGCTGGAAACCTAATTCAACTGAGGAAAAAAGGCAGCACCTTGGTCAGAATTCAACAAGAAGCCCCTTTCTGTTGCTAGGGAACCCCAGCTTTTCCCTAGCCCCAGGCTCTGCGGCCAGTGACACCTGAGAAGAAGTGGGATCATGTACAAAATGGATTGGAGACCAAATCGGAGCCAGTGAGGTGGCTCAACCTGTAGTCCCAGCACTTAGAAGTGGTGTCAGGAGGATCAGAAGTTCAGAGTCATCCTCAGCTATACAGTTTAAGGCCAGCCTGAGTGACATGTGTTTGGGCAGTCATAATCACATAGTCTGTGCAGACACAGATCTGTACGGATGTCCATGTAGCAACCATTAGGGGTGATGCAGAGGAACACTGGCATGGGATTGTGGGATCCTTGGGCTATTCTGAGTAGTGCCCACAGCTTCATGTGACCTGGGCCTTGGTTCTATAGAATGAAAGTTGGAAAGAAACCTCGGTGTTTTCATAGATTAAAGAAGTCAGCACAAACTTGAGGATCTGAGTTCAAATTCCTAACACCCATGTAAAAAGCCAGGTGTGGTGGCACCTGTAATCCTAGATGGGAGGTGGAGACAGGAGAGTCCCAGGGCCTCTGCTGGCCTGCCAGTCTAGATAGTTGGTCAGCTCCAGGTTCAGTGAGATACCCTGTCTCAAAAAATAAGTAGAGAAGTAGCTGAGGAAAACACCAGATGTCGACCTCTGGCCTCTGCATGTGTGCACACACACACCCCACACACATGTACACCACACACAAACTAAGTCCTTCCCTCAAAGGAGCCCCCCCATAAACTGTCCTCACCCCCCCACTCCTCTGATACAGTCACTAGCATTAAATAATAGGAAAAACACCTTCTCCTGTCTGTTTACCTAACAACCTCACCTACTCTACCTTGCATCAAGCCTGTATTACAGAGAACGACCAGACATCCCTTTTTTAGCACGGTCCAGTTCACTATCCATAAACTGCTTGGTCAGTCTAGAAGCATTAAAACTCATTATGAAAATGGGCAAACTTGAGCCAGGAGTGGTGGTGCACACCTTTAGTCCCAGCACTCAGGAGACAGAGACAGGCGGATCTCTGTGAGTTCAAGGCCAGCCTGGTCTACACTTCGAGTTCCAGGCCAGCTGGGGCTTCAGGGAGACCCTGTCTCAAAAAGACCCCCCCACACACAAAAAAAGGGCAAATTACAGTGTAGTGACCCCTGATGGCCACTAGATGGAGAGCGCGCCTCTTTTTGCCGGCAGGGTCTACCAGCCCCAAGACCTTAATGCCGAGAATAGGACAGACTTCTAAACCTCTGTGTTTGATAGTTCATTTAGCGATCAAAGGAACTGAGAAAAGATTCATTTTCACTGGAAAAACCCAGGAGCCACATCTCAAGCAAGCGTACATCACCAAGAAGCCTGGGAAAGATCTAACACCGTGCTCCCAATTATGTTTTCATTTTATTTTTAATTTTATTATTACTCTCGTGTGTGACAGACACAGAGAGATAGAGACAGAGAGTTCAGGAAGGCATGGAGCACTCCATATGGAGGTCAGATGACTACTTTCAGGAATTGATTCGCCTATTATGGGATCTGGAGATTGAAGTCATGTCACCGTATTTTCAAAACAAGAGCTTCTACCCACCTGAGCCATCTCTCCAGCCAGCTCCCAATTCTTCCTCTGTGTACTCTGCCATCTGTCCTTCCCAAGGCTGCCTCACCCTTTCCTGCTCAGCATCCTTTTTTTTCTTTCATTTCTCTTTTCTTCTATGATAGGGTTTCATATAGCCTATGCTGGCCTCAAACTATGTAGCCAAGGATAACCTTGAACTCCACATCCTCCTGCCTCTACCTCCAAATACTGGAATTACAGGCGTATGCCTCCACACTTGGCTCTTTGTATTTTAATTTGTTCTTATGAGACAGGGTACCACTATGTAGCCCAGGCTGGCCTTGAATTCATCATGTATCCCATGCTGGCTTCAACCTCACAGCAGTCCTCCCCCCTGAGCCTTCCAAGTACTGGAAATAGAGACTCGACATCACAGTGGGTTTGGCATCCTTTTGTTCTTTTCCTTTGGGACCTATTTCTGCTCCATTCTTACATCCCGTGGTTCATTAGGAGTGTTCCTACCCTATTCCAGAGGGTGAGCATGTCACCTAGCCTGGGCAATCAGAACATAAATTCATAGCTGTTAATGTCAGCCCTTGCTAATGTGTAAGAAAAATCTACCTGAGAATTAAACCAACACAAAGGAAACCAGCAAAGAGATGAGAAGAAACTGATTTCTGATGAGTACCCATTAGCCATGCCTGAAGATAACAGCCCCAGAACTTCAGCTATGACTTTTCCCTGAATATATTTGAGTAGACTTTCTATTGTTTCCAATAAAGAGTTCTGCCTAGGGCCTGGGGACACACCTCAGAGATAGAGCACGTATCTATTGTGTAGGAGAGGAGGCTCTGGGGTCATCTGGGGGTAGGGGTTGGGAGCAAGGGGAGGAAGGGAAGGGGAAGAAGTGGAGGAAGAGGAAGGGAAGGTGGCAGAGAAAGAAGGCAGAGAATGACCCTAATACAACTCCTTGTCAACCTGGAGACCTCCACTTGTGCTAAAAAATAAAAATAGCATTGACTCCAAGGCTGCATTGGCTGCAGTTCTGTGTGCCCAGACTCCCGGTATTCTCCTTTAGCATCACCCTTAATAAGATGATTTGTTTATAAGCATCCTTTCTTTTGTGTTTTGTTGTTGTTGTTTTGTGTGTGTGTGTGTGTGTGTGTGTGTGTGTGTGTTTTCTTTTGAGACAGGTTTTCATTATGTAACCCAGGCTAACCTAGACCTCGTGATCCTGCCTAGGGCTCCCATGTGCTGGGCTTACAGGTGCACATCACAACACTTAGCTTCTAGGAACTCACTGTGGGCAGAAACTGGGTCTTAACCACATTGGATCCCTGGTGCATAGCAGACAGCATAATTATGTTTTTCTGGTTTATTTTGTTTTACAGTACTGGGGATTAAACCCATGGCTTCCAGCATGTTAGGAAAGTGTTCTACCACTGAGCCACATCCCTACCAGAGTCCAGACCTCCTAAAGGAGCTGAGTCTCTAGTGGTTGAAAGGTCAAAGGAACCTGGTTTAAGGGTGGAAGGAGGCTTAGTGAGAGGACCTAGAAGAGATGAGTTATGGGGCAGGGTCGAGTAGATTGTTTCAATGATTTCCCATGAATCTTTGCCTCCCTGTGCTTTTTTGCACTGTGACTTTATCGGTGGTCCTATCAAGATGGGGAGGACCATCCCCAAGTCCCTTGAATTTTGGCTGGCCTTATCATTGGCTTTGATCAGACAATGCAATGACATAGCATTGTGTGACTTTCAAAGCTGGGATTTGAGTCTCCAGTCCTACTACCATGAAAAAGTCTGGGTTAGGCTGTGGGGAGATAAGTGATGGCATAGCAAGAGAAGCTGACAGCCAGTCTCATCCATGTGAAGGAGACATTCTATTTGGTTTTGTTTTTGTTTTTGTTTTTTGTAGTGTTGAGCTCGGCCTTGTGCTTGCTAGGCAAGCACTCTACCACTCAGCTACATCTCTAGCCCAAAGAGGCCCTCAGCACAGGCAGTCTACAATATAAGCAGTCCTGGAGAGACCCCTGAACTACCAAACTGGGCTCAGTTAATTCACAGAATTGCAAATGTAACAAAATTGTTTTAAGTCTCTCAGTTGGGGATGATTTATTTTTAGGAAGGGCTCACAACCCCAGGTACAGCAACCATTAGTTTATACCTTTGTTTGGATGGTGGGATTTTCCTTGGAGAGTCTCACCTCTGGCTGATGTAGTCTGCAAGAGGATAACCTCTACCCTCCTAGCTGTTCCAGAAGCATTGAGAAAGCATTGTTAAGTGAGACAGCCTTGGGACTGAGTTGTTTATGGCCTTTGTCACCTTTCAGGAGCTTCTGCCTGGTGC